TTAAGCACATCTTAAGCAGATGCAAATCTGCATCGGTCAAAAGACAAATTTGCATCTTATCGATGGACAAAAATAAAAATTGTCCATTAGCATGATGCAAATTTGTTATTGGCAAAATGTAAAAATGCATCCTGTCAAGATGTAAAAATGCATCCTGTCAAGATGTGCTTAAAACGAGGGGTCCACCACTCGAAAACTCGTTGTACACTAGCACAATTACTCGCGCCTACTCGCCATTACTCGTGTCCACTCGCCATTACTCGTGGCTACTCGCGATTACTCGCAAAAACTCACGATTACTCGCGAAAACTCGCGAATACTCGCGAAAACTCGCTACTTACTCGCTTGACTAGCGCCTCCTATGTAGCGATTTTGGTCCATTTGACCTTAATCTACGAGGCACTTACTCGCGCCAACTCGTGAATACTCGTTGCTCCTCGCGCCAACTCGTGTCTACTCGCGCCAACTCGTGAATACTCGCGAATACTCGCGCCTACTCGTCCCTACTCGCACCAACTCGTGAATACTCGCGCCTACTCGTCCCTACTCGCGAATGCTCGCGCCTACTCGTCCCTACTCGCGAATACTCGCGCCTACTCGCGTATACTCACCACTTACTCGCCGAGTATCGGGCTTGCCTAGCGCCTGTTATCTAGCGATTTGGGGCGATTTGACCTTAATCTACGAAGCATTTACTCGCGAATACTCGCGCCAACTCGCGAATACTCGCGCCAACTCGCGAATACTCGCGCCAACTCGCGAATACTCGCAAATACTCGCGCCTACTCGCGCTACTCGCCATAACTCGCGCCTACTCGCCAAACTTGCCAACTCGTTGTACACCTTTTTTTCGGAGTGGTGGACCCCTCGGCTTAAAAATGCATCTTGGTATGGACAAAAAAAGAGTCCCTTGCAATTTAGTGTGTACTCTAAATGTAAAGGGACAATTTTGATCCATAAAAGGGAACGTCTCTGAGCACATCCAGGCCGGTACAAAATTTGTCCCTAAAACTAGACAAATTGTGTCAAGTTTACACAAGTTGTCTACTTTTAGGAACAAATTTTGTACCGGTCTGGATGTGCGCAGAAACATTCCCTTTTATGGCACAAAATTGTCCCTTTACATTTAGAGTGTATATAAAGTAATACGGGTAACGACATATGGCCGTTCCGTACTTCAGAAAAGACGTACGGCACACTAGATATGAAGGGACAATGTTTTCCATGAAAAGGTGCATTTGCCACTTAAAAATTTGAAGCACATCTGGACCAGAAGCATTTTTGCAACAAGGTGACAAATTTGCATCGTTTTCTTCGACAATTTTTGTTTTTGCCTACTATAGAAAGGATTCAAATATGTCATTGATGTGATGACAGCTTGCATGTGCTTGAGATGTGCTTAAAAATGCATCCAATAATGGGCATGTTTGTCCTTTAAAAAGTCCATTACGATTATACGAATGGAAGAACCGCGTGTTTTGTAAACGTTGATTAAGAAAAATAATTACCGCAAACGCATACACTGTAAAAATTCTTTGTCACGATGACGAAAATACCACTCTGCTAATCTTAGTGCGTAGTAGTTTGCCAGTTTAAACTGGCAAACTAAAAGTTTGCCAGTTTAAACTGGCGAACTAAAAGTTTGCCAGTTGTAACTGTAGAACTCTTTAGTTTGCCAGTTCCAACTGTAGAACTAAATAGTTCTACACCAACAACTGGCAAAATCTGTTGGTGTAGAACTATTTAGTTCTACAGTTGAAACTGGCAAACTAAAGAGTTCTACAGTTACAACTGGCAAACTAAAGAGTTCTACAGTTACAACTGGCAAACTTTTAGTTGGCCAGTTTAAACTGGCAAACTTTTAGTTTGCCAGTTTAAACTGGCAAACTACTACGCACTAAGATTAGCAGAGCATGGCTAATTTTTTAGTACAGGGGTGTCGTAATGGGTTTTTTCGTCACGGTGACGAGAAAACCTTGGTCATGTGACGAAAAATCCCATGACGACACCCTTGAACTAAAAATTAGCCATGGTATTTTCGTCATCGCGACAAGGAATTTTTACAGTGTACGCGCCTTATTTTTCATACCTTGTACTTTTTGGACGAAAGTACGAACCGTACACTTACCGGTGTTTGAAACTGGGAAAAACTTGAGAACCCCCCAGAAAGTCGTAAAACAATCGAAAATAGCGCGGTCCACCAAAACTTTTGACGAGTTTTCAAAGTCGCCTTGCATTATTAGAGATTAAATTGCCAAAATAACGTCGTGTAACGCTATAAGATTCGAAGCTTCACAAATCGACCAAAGTTAAAAATCTAATTTCTGTTTATCATTTTCTTAACGGAATTGGCCATTTTTCTTTCAACCGAGCCATACTGTAAAGTACGTCTTGATAATCGTGGAACGGGGCACACTTTTTGAACGAACCATTCAGGTGAGTTTATACCAGAGCGCGCAAGGG